CCAGGTCTTTGTATTTTGATAGTTTTTCAAATTCCTTGGTTGCTATGTTACAATCCGCTGGACAAGCCATATCAATTAGTAGGCAAGTTTTTTTTTTCTGGTTTTTGACAATAATGTCCGGCCTATTTGCTTCAATTTTTCTGTCTGTGTGGATGGTATAATCCCATAGAATGGTGACATCTTCTATTTCTGTAACCGGCGCTGGCCGATGTTCATACCAGTGTTTGCTTACACATTTTCCAAAGTGTTTGCACATTGTCCAGTGTAAGTATTGCCCCACTCTATCGTGACGATTTTTATATTCATTTGGGGCAAGTATAGAACATCCTGAGATTAGATGGTCTATTGTTTCTTGGTATTTGTCACAGAACCTGCATTTTGGATCCACATTATTATGTATGATATTTGCCTGAAAATTCCTAGTGAAAAGACTCTGGTCTTGCGCTGCAAGAATAAAGCCTTCAGTTTCAGACTTTAATCCATCTGGATTAAAGTCTGAAACTGAAGGCTCGTAACCATCGATGAGTATTAACTTTATCAACATTGGGTTTATTTGCACGTTCTGGATATTGGCCATGCAGAGGTTTGTCTTGCCAGCGTTGTTTCATCTGTTCAAGGGCTTTATCCTTGGCTTTTTTTCATATCTTTTGCTGCAATAGTTGGTTCTTGGCTTCTGTTTTGATTTACTACAGAATCTACTAAATGTAAATGTTGTTTGTATTTACTGCCTTCTTTTATTATTGAATATTTTTTCTTTCTGTTTTCATGTTGTTTCACTAATTTTATCATCCAGTCATTTGTTGTTTCCATGTAAGTTAGTAAGCCAATAGTTGTTGTCTTGTATGACAATTCTAGCTGAATAAGACCTCTTCCACCTTCTTTTTACGGGGTATGTATAGACGGTCTACATCAGCCTTTGGATGATGCATCTTATACTTAGAAAGAAGCTTTCTTGTTTTAGAATCCATTTGTCTGATGTCATTTAGAGTCCAGTTCAAGATGTTGAAACTATATTGGACCACTGGGATGGCTAGGTTATTAATGGCCATAATTCTGTTCTGAGAATTCAATTCAGTTTTTAATACCAGTCGTACCCTTCTATAGTACTCTTTACGCACTATTTCTTTTTCATTTTCTTATGGTGAATTCCTTCACTCTCATTTACACCCTAGGTACTTATAAGCTTCTCCTTGTTCTAAATCTTTTTTGTTACAGCAGGGGTCTAAACTAATAGAGGAAGTTTGTTGTAGCGATCCTCGTAAAACTGTAGCTTTAGCACATTTATCCAAATTGAATTTCATTCCGATGTCTTCACTGAAGCATTTTACAGTTTGCAGAAGACCTTCCAGCTCATTGTCATTCCTAGCATACAATTTTAAGTCATCCATGTAAAATAGATGGTTTATTTTCTTTTTTGAGCTATTTTGTAACCGCATTCTGTCTTGTTAAGTTGGCTGGTTAATGCTATAAGTGATATGCAAAATAATAAAGGAGACAAAGAGTCACCTTGAAATATTCCTCTATTGATGTTTATTTCGCCAGACTTATAGGTTCCATTTTTATGATTGAGGTAAAGTGTAGTTTTCCATATCGACATACATTGTTTGATGAAATTGATGATAACGGGGTGATACCTTGTACATACTTAAAGACTTTAAGATCCAGGAATGTGGTACACTATCGAATGCTTTACGATAATCTATCCAGGCAATACTAAGATTTTTTTTTTCCACGGAAGCAGTTTTCCAGGATCATCCTATTAATAAGTAATTGGTCTTTACATCCGTAGCAGCCTCGTTTGCACCCTTTTTTGTTCAAGTGGTAGTATGTCATTTCTTTCCAAGAAGAAATATGTCTGTTTTGTTAAAATAGATGTTAACAGTTTGTATGTTGTTGGAAGACATGTAATTGGTCTATAGTTTTTCGGAATATTTGTGTCACTATTTTTGGGTAGAAGAAAGGTAACTCCTTTGGTCATCCATGCAGGAATTTTAGTTGGATCGGTAACCATTTCTTGAAGTTCTTTGGCGAGTTTTGTGTGTGCTGTATTTAAATAATATAGCCAGAAGTTAGGAATTTTATCTATTCCTGGAGATTTCCAGTTGTGTGCTTTTTCAGTGCACATTTAACATCTTCTTCTGTGATTCCTGCCCATGTCTGTTCTGGTTTATTTTTCATTCGTTCTAACTCTTGCGCAATCCAATCTGCCTCTTCGTTGTGTTCTTTAGGGCAAGCCCATATTTTTCCCCAGAACTGTATAACTTCTTCCATTTTAGGGGACTGTCACTTCAATTCTTTGTTTACCTATTTCCCTGTAAAATTTCTTTTTTGCATCGGTTTGAAAGATCTTGTTCTGTCTATAGAATCTTGATCTTTTCTCGTAGCGTCTTATTCTTTGAGCCTTCAGTTGTATTGTTTGCTTTATTTTTCTTTAGTTGATAGGACTTCATTTTCATTCCTGATATTGTATTTTCTTTCGACTCTTCTGCCTTTTCTAGTTCTTACATTTACTCCTCTTGCTAGTTCATCGAGTACTGATAATTCACTTCTAAGGTGTTCAATTTCTTTTTCTATTTTTCTTTTCCAAGGTGGATCTTCATGTCTGTGAGACTGCCTTCTTTTTTACTTTGATGTTCAGTTTATTTGTTGCTGCTATTGCTGATGCATATATTGCTTCATTGAGATTTATATGAGTGTCTTCTTCATCCAGAATCAATTTGAGTGCTGCATTATAGAGCTTAATAGTTTTGAGGTTATGCTTTGTTGGTTGTAATTTTGGGAGTTGTTCTCGTTCCTCCATTGCAATATTCTGTATCTGACTTATATGGCTCATGATTTCATCCTTGGCTTCTTGTATATTAATCTTGTTTTCTGTGAAATAATTCTGTTCGATGAATTTTGAACTCGTTTTATTACTGTCTTGTGACTGACTAAGATCATACCTTTCCAACATTTCTAAATTTTCAGCATTATCTTCACAGTGATTTGTGTGTATTTCGGTTTTTTCATTATGACCTGAGGCTTGTGTGATGTTACTACTTTTTTTTCCCGATTCCGGTTCCTTTTCATGTTTTGTTGGTTCATCTATTCTTGTTGCAATTCTTTTTATTTCATTAATTTCAGCCTCTGTCAATCGGTTATTTCGCATGATGTCCCTTCTTACATTGGCTAGTTTATTTTTGTCTATGTACTTTCTAATTGTTTGCCCAACCTTCTCTCGCCAAATGTCATATGTTTGGCGAGTGATTTATTATCATTATTATTATTATTATTATTATTATTATTTTTATTATTATTATCATTATTATCATTATTATTATTATTTTTATTATTATCATTATTATTATTATTATTATTATCATTATTATTATTATTATTATTATTTTTATTATTATTATCATTATTATTATTATTATTATTTTTATTATTATTATTATCATCATCATCATTCGATTTCTGCTATGGACACACTACCTACCAAGTCTGCGGAAAGACCTAAGGCAGGTCGTGGTGTGTTGTTATGGCCACATTTCGGTGAAGTTGCTAGCGTTACATAGACAAAGTTCTCCTTAGTGTGTGTGCTGTACTTAATAAGACAATTTTCTGTATGTCTCTTAAGCTGGGGTTTCCAGGGATTCTTTCAATGTGTTGTTTTGTTCCATTTTTATAATTCCAAGTGCACCTATTACCACTGGTATTATTCTTGTTTTCAATTTCCACATTTTTTCTATTTCAATTTCAGGTCTTTGTATTTTGATAGTTTTTCAAATTCCTTGGTTGCTATGTTACAATCCGCTGGACAAGCCATATCAATTAGTAGGCAAGTTTTTTCTTTCTGGTTTTTGACAATAATGTCCGGCCTATTTGCTTCAATTTTTCTGTCTGTGTGGATGGTATAATCCCATAGAATGGTGACATCTTCTATTTCTGTAACCGGCGCTGGCCGATGTTCATACCAGTGTTTGCTTACACATTTTCCAAAGTGTTTGCACATTGTCCAGTGTAAGTATTGCCCCACTCTATCGTGACGATTTTATTATTATTATTATTATTATTATTATCATTATTATTATTATTACTATTATTATTATTATTAAACATCTGCCACTGTATCATTGGTTTCCAATGTTAGAAATTTTGTGACAAGTGTTGAGATTCTGGCAATTTTAAAGCGGTTACAAAAGATAGGAAATTGTGGAGAGCCATAATCGCAAAAGTAGGTCACTAAAAATTGCTAATTATGAAGATAAGAGGGAAACAATCCGTTCAACAACATAGGAAAACTTTCAGACGACATCAGATGCTCAAAAGCGCCATATTTAAATTATTATAGAAGTATTTTTTAATTGTACAATAAAGGCTTGTTTAAAAAGAAAATAAATTTGATAAACCCTAAAATAAACCCTTCGAACTATCCTTGAAAGGCGTACAGACGATCTGCTGAATTATTTAAAGAATAAAAATGATGAAATTTTGCGAAATTTACGCAACAAAAGTTAGACATGGCGCCGAGAGACGGAGAATCCAAAGGCCAAACTATTTCGATAAAAGATTTTCAATAATTCGTAGAATGCGAAAAATAAAAAAAAATAGTCGTTCTCAGAATATCAGAAAACTTACTAAACAATGGTAGAATGATTATTATGACTATATTTAGCTTGGGTAGAAACGAAAATAATTTTGTAGCTCTGAAGATCAAAGTCGTTTGCTAGTTTTAAACGTAAGTTCTATGTTAATACTTTCTTCTCCTGCACTTTTCGCTTGTGGAATAATCTTTCGGTCCCTTGCTTTTCTGTCAACTAGGAAATTCAACGGTTGATGCGGTGTCACTCAACCGCTGTTTCTTTGAATATTGTTCTTTTATTGCCTCTTCATAATGTCTTTTTTTTTCGCGCCTTGTTTGAGACGGAAGGATTAAAATAAAACACTCCTTATCTTTAATTTGTGTGTCTTTTTAGATTCATTTTCTTTTATATATCAGATCTATCATTGGTGTATTATTAGTCGCCTGTGGTATTTTGGTGGATATTCGAAATAAATTGTGAAAGATGAGTTCTTATGGTGCTGGTGTCAATTAGATGAGTTCTTCTAGTGCTGGTGTCAAATGGATGAATTCTTCTGCTGCTGGTGTCAATTGGATGAGTTCTTCTTGTGCTGGTGTCAAATGGATGAGTTCTTCTGCTGCTGGTGTCAATTGGATGAGTTCTTCTTGTGCTGGTGTCAAATGGATGAGTTCTTCTGCTGCTGGTGTCAATTAGATGAGTTCTTCTAGTGCTGGTGTCAAATGGATGAATTCTTCTGCTGCTGGTGTCAATTGAATGAGTTCTTCTAGTGCTGGTGTCAAATGGATGAGTTCTTCTGCTGCTGGTGTCAATTAGATGAGTTCTTCTAGTGCTGGTGTCAAATGGATGAATTCTTCTGCTGCTGGTGTCAATTGAATGAGTTCTTCTAGTGCTGGTGTCAAATGGATGAGTTCTTCTGCTGCTGGTGTCAATTAGATGAGTTCTTCTAGTGCTGGTGTCAAATGGATGAATTCTTCTGCTGCTGGTGTCAATTGAATGAGTTCTTCTAGTGCTGGTGTCAAATGAATGAGTTCTTCTGCTGCTGGTGTCAATTAGATGAGTTCTTCTAGTGCTGGTGTCAAATGGATGAATTCTTCTGCTGCTGGTGTCAATTGAATGAGTTCTTCTAGTGCTGGTATCAATTGAATGAGTTCTTCTGCTGCTGGTGTCAATTGAATGAGTTCTTCTGCTGCTGGTGTCAATTGGATGAATTCTAGTGCTGGTGTCAATTTTTTTTTTAAGCATTACGCCCCAAGCAAGGCGTGAAAACACTAGGATACAGGGCGTTGCGGAAGATTTGGAGCGAGAGCGGATAGGAGTGTTAGAAGAAAGGATGAGGAGAAGGATAGTGAGTAGATCAAGGTAACTGGAGATGTCGATTGACATTACATTTGAATAGTTGGAGAGTATAGCTTTCAGGGAAACAGTACTTGGGGAGGGTGTTCCACTGGCGAGAGGTGCGAGGTATGAAGCTATTGGAGTAGAAGAGACGGCTACATTTGAAAGTTTCTACGGTGTAAGGGTGAGAGCGGGATGCCAGCCTCGTAGGGCGCTTGAATTCATGGAGTCTGGGAACCGGTGAAAGCAGCTCATCAGAGCAATTACCATGGAAGTATTTGTAAAAAAGACAGAGAGAGGCGACGGCGCGTCTGTGAGAAAGTGACTGCAGACGAGACGCTAGATCAGGGCCAATTAGATTACATATCCGTCTCTGGATCTTGTCAAGAACTCCGAGGTAAGCAGAAGGTGCTCCAGCCCATATATGACAGCAATACTCCATGCAAGGGCGAATGGTTGTTTTGTATATTTGGAGTATCGATTCAGGGGAGAAAAATTTCCTGGCGCGGCACAGAGAGCCAACTTTGGATGAATTCTTATGGTGCTGGTGTCCATTGGATGAGTTCATATGGTGCTGGTATCAATTGGATGGGTCGTGAATCGAACTAGCTAGTCTCAGGATAGTTACTGATGACCAAACTTGCTACCTTTTCCCTTTGGCTTTATGCCAAACGGATCGTAGTCTACCAAATAAATTATGTCTGTAAGTAGTGCTTCACTGTGTTTGTCTCTCGCTCTTTTCTCTACAGCTTTCAATTCAAAGTCGTCCTTTTCCTGGATAGGTTACCAACTAAGTTTAGAAACCTCTTTCTACACAACTATTTCAACACTTATCACTTTAATACGTTTCCTACAAGGCTAAGTTTCAAGTGAATATGTCAACAAAATGTTGTGTTACGTGTGATAATTTATTAAATAATATGTTAGAAAACTCTCCTCAAAATTACGTTTTCAGGGATATTTGAATCGAAAATATTAATTTAGGAATTATTATACTAAAATTAAAGTAAACAAAACATTTATACGAAGGGAGGGGTTTAAAGTGTTCTAGATTTGAAAAAAAGTATTGATATCCGGTCATTTGGTTAGACTGGATAATGTGGGTCAGGTCATTTTTTTTAATAAGATCTCCTTAGTGTTTGATAAATTAATTTTCTTAAGATTATTTTTTAAAAGACTATGACAATTTACATGCAACGAAATAAATAACAGAATTTTCTTTTAATTCTGGTTTATAGTCTTTTTTTAATAATAATAATAATTATCTTCAGCTTTTAAAATTTTAATTTAATCCGTCTGCATTTTAAGAAAGTGTTTTTGTCGTTTTTTCTCAGAGTTAGTAATTCGAAATAACTTTGTTACATTTTCTCGCCTGACAAATGAAAACAGAATTCATTATGATATTTAACTCAATAGAATTTTTATCTTAATCACAATATTCCCAAGTGAATGTTTTCCATTCAGCAAATTTTGAATGGTTTTCATTTTAACAAGCAAGAAGGCGTCATTTTTCTTTCTTTTTGTTTTTTTTGTTTGTCATTTTGCGGTGGGCATTACAAGAACTAAAAGTAATTATGTGCATAGCGTGCAGCTTTCTCTGTCAGACCAGCGACTCTTTAGCGCACACAGATTTCTGTTCAAGGACTTTTTTTCCGAATTTTCGTAACAGCATTGCATGTGTGAAGGATAAAGGAGACAGAAAAATACTATTCTATTTGTTGTTGTTTTTTCTTGTTTTTTTTTTTTTTTTTTTTTTTTGTCAGTTTTCTCTCTCCAAAGACTTTGCAATTGACTTTATCTAAACTCAGGATAAGAGTCGATTGATAGAATGTAACCATGCTTCAATTCAGGCTTTCATTGTTTATCTTCTATCCAGGCGGAAGAGGATTCTCCGAAGGTTTCACGGATAATTCTTTAACCTGTTCACTGCAAAACCAAAACCGTTATAGGATCATGTGAGAACAGTATTTTTTTTTTATTATTTCGTAATAGATTATGTTAGGTAACAATTAATCTTTTGAGTGCTTATTTTTTATCATTTCACGCCAAGCAAGCCAATAAAACATCAATTAACATGAAAGACACAGGGAAGAAAGATAATGGCTGTGGGAAAGCGACTTAGATGCCAGGTTAGGACCAGTAAATTTGCAGTTTCTTATATGGATTTTATCAATGATCTCTAAATATATAGCAAGTGCACCAGACAATATTTGACAGCAGTATTCAAAGTATGGATAAATCTATCCATTTCACGTCTAAAATGATGAGACCTTGCCGCCAATCTAGTACTGCGCTTAAATTCATAAACTCTAGGTAGGCACGAAGAAATTTTATCAGAAGAATTACCATGAAATATTTATAGGAAAGACGCAAGAAAGTTACGTTACGACGGTGCGAAAGGGACTGAAGTCGAGATGCCAGGTCAAGACCAATAACATTGCAGATTCTTATTTTGATTTTATCAAGAATACCTAAATATTCTGTGGCAAAAGCAACGTACAGGGTATTCCAGATACGGCCTAAATCTTTTCGTTCTTCCTTCCTGGATTGTTGGAACACAGCAAACACGCCTCCCATCAATCGACAAAACTCTAGGAATGTTCTTCAGGCCGCACAGATCACACAGAAGAGTTCGGCTTTTTCGAACCGTTCAATGATCGTGAGACTATGGTCTAAACCATCAAATTCATGGATTAGCTTCAGGTCGAGCTTATCGAGGGCCGTGAGTGCCGAACCAGCTTGTACTTTAAATTCGAGCAACTGACAAATATCCTTAGTTGAAGCGGGTGGCATTCAACTCGTCGAGAACTCCTACGCGCTTCTCATCTAGTCTCGCAAAATCTCTAAGTTCCGAGAATGAGTTGTTCTTAACTGATAGCTGCTAACGAAAAAATCCTGGACGTAACTGATGTTGACAAACATGTCCGCAGGCGAAGCGAGGCTTCTTTTAGATCTATACTAACGCGCGTTCGTCGCAATATATGTGCATTCTGTTTACAAAAATATATTTGTTATTTGTGGTGTGTGATGGAATATATACAATTATATGAAAAAAGAGGGTAACCATACAATCGAATAAAAAAAGATCAACTAATTAAATTAAAATTGTGTGAGTAAGGCCTACCTCACAAAAAAAAAGTGGGCCGGTGTATTCTTCTGTCAGACAGAATCAAGTGGCTCACTCGCTAGTGGCAGTTGGATGGGGCTGTAAGTAGAAAATATGGGAGTGGGAAAATTTTAAAATGCTGGCCCAATCAAGATACAAAAACGTGCTGTATCAGGAAGAGGCAGCTGAAGTTTCTGGGATACATAATGAGGAAGGAGGGCCTGGAGAATCTGATACTCACGGGTCGAATAGAAAGAAAGAGAGACAAGGGAAAGCAGTGCGTGGCATACCTGGCAGGCTTTAGCGGGTGGATGAGAGAACGTGGTCTGGGGAAGGAAGCAGAGGGAAGGAGGTTGTTGAGAACTGCAAGGGATAGAAGGAGGTGGAGAGCCATGATCGCCTACGTCCTGAAAGGACATGGCACAAAAAGAAAGAAATGTGAGTGATATTTATTTTTATATTTATTTTATAATTACGGCCACGTCACCATATATTGGCGGCAAAATTAATTCTGCAAATATTGTAGTTTTTGGTTTGTTCGTTTTTTGCAGTAAGGCCCGGCGTCAACTCAAGTTAGATGATTACGTTAAGCTGTAGTTTATATGGATAAGAGGACAGTGGTTCAGGGAAAAATCTGTTTGGACGGAACTTACTTGTCGCCAATGGAATACAAGGAGAATGTGGGACGTTTGCTACTATGTAAGTGGCATAGCGGGTCCTAGCTGTGGAGGTTAAACCTGACGGGATCAGGGAATGTAGTTCGTCCGAGCGATTCCAATGTTAGTAGTGAGAGACGCGCCACATCCCGCTTGGAGGGTGGAACATAATTCTTCCCCAACAAGAAATCGGAGACGCTTTAGAACTCTATCAAAAGTGTAAAATGTAACAACACTACTCCATTTCACTATTTACATTATTCGGATTATTGTCCTCATCTTTGTCGCCGTGTTTATCAGGCGGTTGGAATGTTGAACAAAACCCTTTATTTCCCTGACTAAGGTAGACTGTTCTAGTTCCACGTGTCATGTCTAATAGATGTCAGTTATCAGTTATCTCCTGTTAATTCCCCTCTTCCAGTTCGTCACTACCATAACCAGGTATTGAACTCACACTCTTTGGTTTCTTTATCCGCTGTGCCATGTGTCCTTGAGGACATCTGTGTATGAATTTCTGGATATTATAAATCTAATGTATTCAGCATTAATTTTTTTTACCCGTGCTCATATTGCAATTTTTGCTGTTATCATGATTTTTTTACCAGAGCTCATATTTCAATTTTCGTTGTTTTTATCGCTATTCTATTTATTTCGCTCACTGTGATAAACATAGCAACAAAGATGAGGACAATTTTCCGAATAATGTAAATAGTGTACATGATACCACTTCTCAGAAATATAGACAGATAATCCATTTTTGTCCTGACCTGGCTCTTGTAAATATAAAGGATAACATGGAGAGTCATTGAATCAATACATTTTTTGCTTGTGCTTTTTTCTTTTTTTGGCCCCATATGTATTTTCTCAAAATTCAGCGGGAAGTCACAGTCACTATTCCGATAGAAATATGTGTCTCCAGTATTTGGCGAAGCAACTTAAAATGAAAATATAATCGTCTCTAGTGTCTGGAGACACGGCGTAAACTAAAATGTCATATCGCCATCGTTTCGTTGTTTTTAATCAAGCAAATGAAACACCGATGTCAGTTAACTTTGAGACTGGTTCACTGACCCTGACATTATATCCATAGAAATCGATCGCAAAACGAACTGGCCAGAAATGGGAGCAAATATAAATAGAAAATA